ATGCTAAGTAACACTACATGTGTAGAAAACCACTGATTTGTACTTAAGCACTACCTTCTCTTACCAGACAGACACTTTGAAAAGTGCACTGAATAGGACAATCATATAGCTGCAGAACCCTCTCACACTAGAAGTTGAAGTATTGGTGAACAGCTTTGAATTTTCATTTCTTTCTGCAATAAAACTTGGATTACAAAGAGTCCTGTTTATCGTTTCTAAAAAATAAATAGCATCTAAATTGCCAGTAATTAGCTACGTTAGTACATTCAACTGAATATATATCTGAATACTTTCCTGAATCCCTTTCAGAATGCCTACATTGAAGTGCTACTATATATAGCAACACTTTAAAAAAAATCCTTCAACATGTTTGCTTTAGATTTTCCTAAACTGGCTTCCAACTACCACAGACAAAATGATGGAAATTTAGATCACTTTTCATATAGGATTGCTCTTTCAAGTGTGAGTTATCATCTTCAAACTAAGGACAGCAAGGACATATAAAATATTTACAACAGCTTTCCTGTTTTCACAAAAGGGTTATTGTGTCTCTGGGAATGAAAAGGGTGCAGCGTGCCCAAGCATCTTACTAGAAAAAAAAAAAGCATTCTACTCTAGATAATGCTCAGGTGAAAAACATCTATCTATCCTTGTTTTAATAAGATAGATAACATGGTGTACATACCTAGAAACAAAACTTGCACCAAACAAGCACATTTCACAGGAAGATTTAAGAATAAGATAGGTTTTAATTTCTTAATATATAACTGAAAGTTTTGTAGCCTAGAACATTTATAAAACCACAAAAACATCCTTACCTAGGGCCTCTGGGGCCTTCAAAACGTGCTGATCTGGGAGGATCTGGAAGCAATCCACCCGACCTCACTGGTTTATCCTGCATGGTAGGTGCATGTGTTGAAGACACTGCAGAAGTGGCTTTCAGTTCCCCACACCCTTGCTCAGATGAAATAGAGACAGTTTGTTTACTAAGATGAACTTGGGACTTTCCGTGGTCTGAAGAGCCAAAGGATGAACTTACTTGAGAATGATAAGGTGAATAGACAGTTGAACTAGCTATTTTTGATGCATAGGTACCAGGGGTGGGAAGCAGAGCTGGCCTTGGTGTCTCAGTAGACTGACTGCTTTGAGAACTGGATCCTGAAGGGACAGAGGAATTGGATAACTGAGAAACAGAAGAGAGAGGCGGAGGGACCAGTGGAGGTGTAGTTGAAGGTAAAGTTGGCGGCATAATAGGAATGCCACCTTGAGTGGTTTGAGAATATGGAACAAATGGAGGTGGCAGCGAAACATTTGCAGGATACTGATTCTTCAGGTTTTGGAGTGAGCTCACTTTCTCCTGCAGATGGGAATGAGTGACCTTCATCTGTTCATCCCATGCTTTCCACTGTTTCTCATACTCTTGAAGCTGGTCTTTGTGAGGGTAGGTTTGAAGCTGATGCTGCCACTGTTGGTTCATTGATCTCTCCCAATCTTTATGCAGCTGCTGGAACTGTTTTTGCTGTGCCTCATAATGTCGCAGCTGCATGTCCACTGACATTGTCTGCAACAAGAAGACAAGAATAGCTTCAAAATACCATCTCAGTTATTTTCAGAGCCACGTATTTCAGTATCACTCGTAATATCACAATTTCTGACTCAGGTAGAAGCTTGAAGAACTACACTGAAACAAAAGCAACACTAACTGTGACATCTAAAGTCACTGTGACAACTTACACATTTTATGACTAGATGGCATGTATGTATAAAAGGCTTTTTTTTTTTTTTTTTTTTTTTTTTTTTTTTTTTTTAAACAGGACAGTTGAAGAAAGCTGTCGTGGTTTAACCCCCAGCTGGCAACTAAGCACCACGCAGCCGCTTGCTTGCTCCCCACACAGTGGGACGGGGGAGAGAATCAGAAGGGTAAAAGTGAGAAAACTTGTTGGTTGAGATAAAGACAGTTCAATAGGG